CTTGCATGCTACAAATGCAAATGTTTACTGAATGAAGACATAAATAAGTATAATACATACTTTTCAATTTTAAACATTGAGTTAGAAAATATAGCTGATTGTGAGGCTAAAGTTTAATTAATTTTCTGAGACACAATTAAAGTTCTGGGTTTAATGAATCGATATTAATAGAATTAATATAGTAACTGTAGTAATTTAGTACTAATTAAGAGTAACCTATTAGATACCTTTCTCTTGCAAGTGAAATCTGTTTAAATACTTCTATGCAATAACAAAGTTAAACATTCATATGAAATATCTCCAATAGTAAGGGCAAATACCTTTCAAATGGTAGGGTCTCTACTTAAAAATCACAAGCAGATACTAATTTTTCAATGATACGTTTTACATTGGAGTCACAAGAGTAATCTGTTACCTGAGTAAGATAAATTATCTCAAGCATTACAAATGCTTAAATATCAAATATGTACTTATTATTTCTTAAACCTAACACATTACTACCAAAGGCTTAATTTATTCTATATTCTACTTATGTCTACATTTTCTCAAGGTTTAAACACATTTACCCAGTAAGGAAACAAGTACATTATCTCAAATGATTTCGAGATTACGTTCCCAACCAAAATCTGGTAAGTACCTTCTCAGATAGCTGAGACTGCTGAAGTCAGCTACCCCATCAAGGCTGTAACTAACCTTCTTCACTGTTTCTGTGGTTTTGCAATTCTTTTCCATAAGATACTTAAAGTCTATTAAGCTCAAAAACTACTTTGAGTTCATTCCATTGGATCTTTCATGCTCTTAACTGCATGCAACCTATTTGAACAGGAAGAATCCTATATTCTTTTCTCATTCTGTCTGGTAGGGATACAGCTTTTTTGAATTCCAGGTAACAGTCAGGGCTTTGTCTTACTCTATGGTCACAGGCTACACCTGGGGAGTTCGCCTTCAGCTCACCTGTTCCTGTGTAAATATTCCGTAATGTGCCGAGGTGGTTCTGGCCCAGCTACTTGCACCTGGTGATGAGGCAGGTACAAAAAGACAGAACCTCCAAACACACTCAGGTGGTAGGGAGCGAGGGGAGAGAAACTTGGAAGGTAACAAGTTGGTGCAGGTTATTGCTGTTTTTACCTTTACTTTTAAGCCCCGCCCCCACCGGACCTGGGAAAGGAAGGAGAGGGGGCCTCTTCTGACTCCACTCCCCAAGGGGAGGGGGGTTTGCCTCTGAACGTGGCAAGCATGACCAGGTTTGGATCTAGGGCGCTGGGGTCCTGGTGGTGCTCCAGTGGGCCCCCTCCCTACCCCTGTGACTTGTCCAACCTCCCTACACCTTCAAATGACAAGTTCGGCCCCCCACAGTCCCCAGTGACGAATCCAGCCGCGCTCCCATTCTTCACACAGGGTGGGGACGGACTTTCAAAGACTCGGAGATCCCACGGGTGCGGGTTGGAGACCTTACTCTACCGGTTCCCAGTTCCCTTACCCTGAGTACACGACTTATGCTCCATTTAATTTTCCGTAAGAAATCGCTCTCATGTACTTGTTCTGTGTCATTACTTCTAATGGCAAAATCACCAATTACTTTTGTTACCAGTGGAGGGTGTCCAGGTTCTTGGTGTCTTCAACGAAGAATTGGACAAAATGCACAAAGCAAGGAAAGAATGAAGCAACAAAATCAGACATTACTGAAAATAAAGCACCCTCCACAGGCTCCGGGACTCAAGAACCAATGGGAGGCTGAAGTGAAACAACCAATCAGAGGCTGAAGTGAAGTCACAAAGTTTACCCCCTATACAAGCATCTGATTGGTTGTGGAAAACAACCAATCAGAGGCTAAAGTGAAGTTACAAAGTTACATTTCTAGGCAGACAAGACTTGGCCTGCAGTCTGATTGGTCATAAAATTACATTCCCATGCAGAAAGCAACAGAGGTACTTTCAATTTTCCATCTGCCACGCAGAAATGTGGCGGGGAGGGGCGGTTGCAAAGGGAGTAGCCATCTGGTCCTTTTGTTATTTAGGTGTGGAAAATTGGGGTTTTCCTTTGGATTTAGTTCTAGGAAGTCAGTGTGAATCGGCCTTGGTTTCCCTACGTCCAGACCCTATTCTCCTTCCTCACTTTTGCACCAACCTAATACAACAACCCATACAGAACTTAAAGATCCAGGAAGCCTCTGCCTCCATCCAGGAGCTGCTTCATCCTCTACTCTATGTACCTACCTCTGAGATTCCATATCCTTTGAGATTAAAAACACTTTACATCTTCTGTGTCTGTTGACGGGTCTTTCCACCAGTTACATCACTGTGCTTCTGTGGCAACTGAATACAACTGGAAGTGAAAACTCCTCATTCAAATGTTTCTGAAACATTCAGAGGTAGGGCTCATTTCAGGAAAGGCATGAACCAGCAGCTCAGCAGGCCACACACCTACGCCAGATCCAACGCTGTTACTAGGGACTAGCTTAGATGAGGTCACAGGTGCCAATCCAATATCCAGGTGGGTATTATTCTCCTTGGAATGAACCCCAACAAAAATCAAGAGCCACAAGAAATGGGGAAAGGGAGAATTTATGCTGGGAAGGCATAAAGTCCACTACAGATAACATAAACAACAACAACAACAAAATTCTCTCTCTTCCCCTCTGGCTATGTATATGGCATGAGACTATACCATATTTCATTTCAAGAATGTTCAAAGCAGCTGGGCATAGCGGTGCACGCCTATACTCCCGCCTACTCAGCAGGCTGAGGCAGAAATATTACATGAGCCCAGTAATTCAAGGCTATAGCATGCTATGATCATGCCTGTGAATAGCCACTGCACTCCAACCTGGGCAACACAGCAAGATCCTGACTCATTTTTTTTAAAAAAGGTCAAAGCAGTGCTGTTTAAAACAGAAAAAAACTGAAAGCAACTTTAATGTCCAACAATATGAAGGTACATAATTCATGGTATACCTTTATAATAAAACATTACATCAGCATTTCTCAATTTTTTAGGTCTGGGAACCCCTCTATACTCTCACAAAAAAAATCACTGAGGACCCCAAAGAGCTTTTGTTAATGTGGGTTATATCTATCACTACCACTTTTGTCTGGCTTAACAGAAGTGGCTGGATTCTCAGATCTGCTTCTGCATTCAATCCATTTTGATATGCTGTTTTGGCTGAAGTATATGAAAAAGATCTGACTTTACACAGGCACGTAGTTGGGAAAGAGAAGAGTATTTTAATAGCTTGTTCAGATAACGGTGGACGTTCTTCTCCAAAATTTTACCAAAACCTGGACGAGTGATAGTTTCTTAAAAATTAGTTGCCGTGTGTAATCTGAAACTGTATCAAAAACTTTTTCATACTCTGTTATATTCAAATCCTTGGTCCATCTTGTCCTCTGAACAGATCTTTTACCCAGTCATGATTTCTTTTTTTAGTTTTGAGACGGAGTCTTGCTCTGTCGCCAGGCTGGAGTGCAGTGGCACAAGCTCAGCTCACTGCAATCTCCGCCTTCTGGGTTCAAGCAATTCTCCTGCCTCAGCCTCCCAAGTAGCGGGGATTTCAGGCGTGTACCAATACACCCACCTAATTTTTGTATTTTTAGTAGAGACAGGGTTTCACCATGTTGGCCAGGGTGGTCTCGATCTCCTAACCTCATGATCCGCCTGCCTCAGCCTCCCAAAGTGCTGGGATTACAGGCGTGAGCCACCACGCCCGGTCTCAGTCATGATTTCTTAACATCACATATTAGTCATCCAGAACATGCTGATTCACTGAGTTATAAGGATCTTCTAAACACAGAAAAAATATTTACATAATATCAAAAACTCACATTTGTTAATTACTATCCATCTCATTAGAAAAGGTTTTATGTAAGACTGTGCACGATGGCTCACACCTGTAATCCCACTATTTTGGGAGACTGAGGCAGGAGGACTGCTTGAGGCCAGGAGTTCAAGACCAGCCTGGACAACCTAGAGACCTCATCTCTACAAAACATAAAAAGAAAAAATTAGCAGGCCATGGTGGTATGCACCTGTAGTTTCAGCTACTCAGAGGCTGAGGTGGGAGGATAAGAAAGAAAGAGAGACAGACAGAGGGGGCAGGGTGAGGAGGGGGGGGAGAGAGAAAGACAGAGAGAAGTCTTTATGTTAAGGAAAGCTGTCAAGCTTCCAGTGGAGGAATACAACTTTTCCAAAATCATACATTTTGCTAGAAATCTCCAATTTTATCATTGGCACAACAAATACCATCAGTTGTTTTCCGTGAAGAGGCCATCTTAGTTCAATTTTGAGAAAATGTCTGCCAAACATCCAAATCTAAATAACCAATCATCGTTTTTCGTCATTCTTTTCAGTGAAAATGGCATTCCATGAAAAAAAAGCAGCAAATTCAATTGGCAACTCAAATAAACAAGTGCCTCGTACCTAGGCATGCAGCAGATGTGTCTGTGCGTACTTGCTACTCCATCACACAGGATATTCACAGGGTACTGCAGATGCACACACAACAGCATGCAAATGCAGAAGCCATGGCTGGAGAACTACATATCACATATTTAATAGGCGCCACTACCTTCTGGTAATGGAATGCAGAAAAATGGGAATATACGAGACTTTTATATTTTACCTAAAAACAAGTGAATATAAAAAAGTCTGGTGGGATACACAAAAGAGGTTGACTGTGATTAGCTACTAGTAAAATTATGAATGATTTTTATTTTTATTTTTCTCACTTCCCTGGATTTTCTAGTTCTTCTATGACAGATATATTTGTTTCTTAACAAGATATTTTTATTTACAAAAAAGCCAATCAAAAGCTTTGAAATGTATAGTGAACTGCTTAAAGTTAAATAACCATTGTTTGCCCAACTCTGTGTCACAGTATAGGTTTTAAATTAAGTCACGTGTGCTACATAAGAGAGATTAGAATCAAATTCTGACATCCTTGAAAAATAAAGGTACTTAAAGTAATTAAGTAAATGAAAGCTAAAAAATATATATCTATAATATTCAGTGTGAAAAACATTGTTTTATTATTTGAAAAATAATAGAAATTGTATATAAAATACAAAATGTACAGTTGCCTAGTGCAATTGGTATCCATTTTACATTTTTTACATTTTTTTCCCCTAGTTAATGGCACCCAAAATGTGGTTTCATTTTCACTGGCCTGGTTAACTAATACCATTTAACAATGTGTTTAAGAGCTTCTTCAAAAGATAGTAAAGACAATTTGTAAAATAACTATGCTTTCTTACATTTACAAAACAGAATTTTGATAATATATGAATATTTTATATCACACAATTACCATGTAACTACTAACCTGTTATCTATATCAAATCACAGCACATAACATTTTCCAAATACACTGTTTTAATAAAGAGATTAGAAAATAGGACAGTAACAGTTTCTTAAAGCAATCTTACAGGAAGTCTAATTTAATATTCTGTTAGGTAATGTACTCACGTAGCCTCCCAGAAGACCCAGAAACTTTACGTGAATTGCGGAAGGCTGATTTAAGATGCTAGTTCTTCAATAAACAGTGAACTCTGTAATCAGAATCATTTTTAAGTCAAAATACTATTCCTTACTCTTCAGAAATAAAATATAACTCTCCTCTTGTAATACAGCAAGAAACATAATTGTTCCGGTAACTGCCAGCTTAACTAAAAAGGCCTCCCCTTTTCGTTTTGTCCATTAATTTCTTGCTGGTGTGACTTCCTTTGGCAAACCACATAGGTAATCGTCTCTTTCTCTCTGCAGATGAAGTCTATAGGAAATAGAAAGAAAAAGAAATCAAATCTTTGTACTACTGAGAAGGGGTATTAGTTGCAAACAAGTAACATAGGTTCCTGAATATACACCCATCCTTTCTCCTCCATCCAAAAAAAAAAAAAAAAGCAAATTAGTGGTTATCTATATAATTTATTTCTGGATCAAAAAGTAAATAAATATAAGAGACATAAAATCACTACATCATTTCTTTAGGCAATTACTTGCCATCTCATCACATAGTCTTAGACACTCAAGACACCTCATTCAGTAAGTAAAAATCTAGACATTATTTCAGATCTATATCCCATAGTGTACTTGCTTTGAGTTGACCAAAATGGTGAATTTAATGTTTTGAGGAAGGAACATGCCTGGGCATGTATACACACACAAAGAGTTATATTATGCATGTGAAAAGAATATAGCTTCTAACATCTACAATGGGAGGTAGACAGACTTGTCCAATCAGCACCCTGTAGAGTGGCCAAGGCATAGTATGCTTAACAAACATTTGCTAAATAAATGGAAAAAATAAAAGTTTCTTGTCTCATAGACTCATCTGAGAATCACTATAGATCCACTTCCCAGAAAAAAAGAGAAACATACACGTGCACACTTTCGCACACATTTCAGCAGCTCACGTGTCAAAGAGCCTCTAAACCTCAGGTTAAACATCCTTGAAAAAAAATAATTTAAGGCTGGGTGAGGTGGGTCATGCCTGCAATCCCAACACTTTGGGAGAATTATTGGAGCCCAGGAGGTCAAGGCTGCAGTGAGCTATAGTCATGCCACTGCACTCCAGTCTGGGCTGCGTAAGACCCTGTCTCAAAACAAAACAAAACAAACAAGACAAAACAAACAAACAAAAAAGGTAGTGTTTGGGTACAATACCATCTGCACATAAAAAAGAAATAATTTTAAGTAAGTGTTTCATAAGCCTAAAGTGGCATATATTTGTGTTATCTCAGAGTACTAGATCCTCAGGATAACATAACAGAGAAATCATTCCATCATGGGTACATCCTGGAATCCAGAGTTAATTTGGGGTTATTATTAATAAAAGTAATTGAGAGATTTTATGAGAAGTTTGGCCTTATCTAAGGTACAATGTGTCTGTTAGCCTAAAATACAAAAATACCATTTATTCCATTTCAAGAATGAAGACTATCTAGATATTGTTCATCAGCTGCTTGCTATGTTTGATTATATTTTCTATGTTTAAAAAAGGCTTTGAAATATTTAACAGTAGGAAAACAGCAAAAGATCCTTGGCAGAACACTCTGAAACTTCATATTTAAAAAAGGTAAAAACTTAGCTGTTCCAGCTTAAGTAAAAAAATCCAGGGTAGAAAAAAGGGCTTTGTACACATCAGCAAAGGCTAAAGAAAAAACTGGCTAAGATTGCAACTTTGTTCCTAGGTACCCAGCTGCAAGCAGGGAAGAGAAAATCAAAAGAATGGATGAGACTTATACACACTGTAAGATACTATGACTTAGAAATAATAAATATTGGGGATATAAGGTGGCATACAGAAAAGGCATTTTGCATTTTTCTAATGATCCGTGATGTTGAGCTTTTTTTCATGTTTGTTGGCTACATAAATGTCTTCTTTCGAGATGTGTCTGATCAAGTCCTTTGCCCACATTTTAATGTTTTTTTTTTTTTTTTCTTGTAAATTCGTTTAGGTTTCTTGTAGATCCTGGATATTGGACCTTTGTCAGATGGATAGATTGCAAAAATTTTCTCCAACTCTGCCAAAAGAGGAGGACATCTGAACAGTAATAAAGCAGAGGAAGAAACCCTAAGTCATGTTGTATGTAGCCTAATACCATGGAGTAGCATAGACTTTGAAATCAGGCAGAACCAGGTTTGAACTTTAATTGAGCCACTTGCTAAATGTATGACCTGATTATGCATGTTACTTAAGCTTCAATGTCTTCACAGAGAAATGGAAATAATAGTACATAACATCACTGAATTATTTGGAGTTAAATAAGAATAAATGTAAAATAGCGAAATCCTAATTTCTTCTTCATACTCATTAATTGGTAGCTAATATCATTTCAAGTCTTCTGTATTTCTATAAACATGATCATCAGCATTTATAGTGGAATTATAATAATGATCTCATTTCATTGAAAAAAGGGGGAAATACTTACTTACACTGAGTGTGTCTTTCGAGTGTCAACAGTAAGAAGTGTTCAGTATGAGATCTAAGTTACCTAATAGAAACAATGTCTTCCAGTGTCTATTTCCTTCCTCAGTAGACTACTAAAATTCCCAGCAACAAAATTTTAAGGGCCTCTTTACATCTTTTTAATACTCCCAACTCTGTTACCAAGCTATTACCATTAAGTTATGAACAGGAAACATCAACTCATTTGCTGATTATATGTGCACATACAGATGAAGCAAATACAGAAATATGTAAGTTACGTTCACATTTAATTTCGTTTATAAACAAGGTCAATCCATATATTTAGTTACCAAGCCTGATGCATTTGTCATGAAAACTATTTTCATAAATCAATTTTACCTGTGAATCAGCATCTGTAAATAAATCTTCTACAAAACTATTTGTATAAAATATTGTGTATTTTAATTTGTAATCAAACTCAGTGATCAAGCAGGAAATGTCACACATTCTCTCTCATACAGTCAAGAAAAATAAGAAGAAAAAAAAAGGCACAGGACGAGAGGTACTGGGAAGACGGTGACGGCAGCAGCAGCAGCAGCAGAGCTTTTAATCTTTCTGAATTCCAGAATTAAGACAGAACTAGATAGTAAAACCCCAAATCCATTGTCGACATTTACAATAAAACCAAGTGTAAAGGTGTCCTTGGGAAACTAAAATTGTAACAATGTAGGGGCAAACCACCAACAGCAATTAAGACCTGCACTGTACTGACATCTGTACGGGAGAAAGCAGAGGCAAGCAGTGTCCGATAACAAGAGAACCCCAAGATAGCCCACAGGCAAACACTGGGAAGACAGATTAATGAGAGATTAATCTGATAATAGCATCTGAAAATGGGAGAGCTTTTGTCCAAGCCAATAGCGAGTACAACGAATCCACAGTGATCTCTTAGGTGAAGAGCGCAGCTGGCTACTCTGAACCCTGGGACTAGCCGAGGCTGCCTTCTAGGAGAAGGCTCCACATTCAGGAGAAATCACTGGGGTTAAATCAAAACCAAGCAGGACAGGTACAACAGAGACTAAAGGGAGACAAAGCCTAGATAAAAATGGCAGAGTAGATCTCATAAACCAAGTTTCCATATTTTAGACATTATACAAAAACATTAGAGACAGATGTGAAATTGGGAAAATCATCCTGAACCATGCCTTCTTTTGAAAGTACAGGAAAACTAATCTCATATGAAAACGAGCAAAAGAAAAGTATCAAGGTCAAATCTTTGACACCAGAAAGACTTGCTTAGATACAGAATAAAACTGTAGTCTTTCAAAATGAACTGGAAAACATTAGGAAAATTATCTAAAACACAAAAAGATGTCACAAATCAAAATTAGAAAAATTCAAAACTGGGGGAAAACTGAGGAAAGAATCAGAAATAAAAGAAAAAAATTACAGAAGTGTTCAGTTAATAGGGTTGCTCCTTTGGTAAAACTAAAATAATATTTCTCTATATAAATAAACAAAGAATTTTTAAATCCAGAAACTTTAAAAAATAATTTAAAAATAAGTGAATACAAAGCTATGTGGAATACAGAAATAAATACAACTGATTATGTTAAAAGAGAAATAGAAGGTGAAAAGGAAAAAAAAAAATTTAAAGAGAAATGAAGAAATAAAAAGAATGCATGAAAAGTGACAAAGATTGAAGCTGGGTAAAGAAGATCCAACATACATGTATAGCAGAAGTTCCTGAAGAAGAAATACAAAGTAATGGAACAAAATACTAAAAAGTATGATTTAAGAAAACTTTATAGAACAGTTTTTTAAAAACTATCATTTAAGAAAACTTTCCAGAAATAAAAGAATACTAAATATTTAAAGAAACCACCATGTACCTATGGATATTGAATCCGAATTATCAATGCCAAGACATCACCTTTCTGTTAAACAAAGACATGATTGAGCTTCTATCTTAATAGCAAACACAAGAGATGTAAACATAACAATACGTCAACTAATAAAAAGAATTTGTTCTAATGACTTTATCCTTCGTCAGAAGCCTCATAATTATAAAATATATGACAGATTCTGAAAGCAGGCCTCCAACACTCTACAGAAATCCGCTTTTCATAAAGGGAGGCTGATGAAGACAGATGCTTTGGATGACTCACTCACCTCTACTTCCCAGCCCCAACACCGTTGTTCCCCTAAATGGGAAAAAGGGGCCAAATAAGGTAGACCTTTTAGAATCCAGTAAGCTTAGTACAATTTCTTCCCACCCAAACCCCCACAATATCCCCCATTCTCTTGTTGACATGTAATGTTACTGAAATAGGGGAAAAGCAAAAATGGCAATATATAGTTAAAATTTTACTACAAATGTGCTTCTATATTGAGGAAAAATAGTAAGTTACACCTTTTCCTGTATTGACAGGTTGAAGCTGGGAAAAAATAAGAGGGTCTTAGGCATTTGGTATAGATTACAGAAACAGAAGGCTGAGCATTAGAAGCTAAATTTCATTACCTCCACCCAAAATATGTTTTCTTTAATGTTCCTCTTATAGCTAGTTCAGTTATGAACAATATAAAGATTTCCAACTAATTAAGTTTCATTAGATTATCTAGGACATGACTCTATTATATACAGATTTAACTCAAGTACAGAATTTAAAAAGGCCAGCTCCCCTTATTTTTAAGCAATTCAAAAAAGTAGCAGTTTAATTGCCGAACAGCCTATAAAGATTACCTTAGAACTAAAGTGTAATTCCTAATTCTCTAATACAAATAATCACCACCACCTACTGCCACATTGAATTTACCAACTAAGAATTTAAACAATCTTTTAGTTAATCATTTCAAAAACATTTATAATGGAGTCATGTAATTTTAGACCCGGAAGATACCGAAGGTCAAATTTTTAAATTTATGCCATTATTTAAGAGTCATATTACTAAATAATACTCTCTGATTGCTATTTATCTCATGCCATACAAAGAGCAATTATTTTTGAAGCATTTGATTTTAATAAAACATACCATCTAACATAATACTAAATTTGTAATCTATCTATGATCATGCAAAAGCACTAGGAAATGCTGAGAGCCACAAGCAACAGTAATCCTTGTGCCTCAGATACTCATATCATAGTAACAGACGATGATGAATGATAGAATGATAATAAACCAGTCTGGGAGGTATTTATAACACAATTTGTTTTCACTTTCATTAAGTACATAAACTGCCATATGCTTAAATTCATTAACTATACATCCGAAAGGAAGATTTTTCCAGGCTATATGGTCAATATGAGGTACAGGTAAAATTTAAGCTGACATTCTACACAGTAAGCTAAACAGATGGACTAAACATCCCTTTTACTGTCTTTTTTTAAAAAATCACTTTTCTCAGATCATATTTATGAAAAGTAAAGGAAATGTGGCCCATAGAGAAAGTAATCATATCAGAATTCATAACAGTTCAAAAAATACAGCATTCTAGTACTAGGATATGCAAATTGAAGAAACTGACACTGTATGAAAATTCTCTATATAATTAACAGCTTGGTATTGATGCCTACTTCTTCCTTGCTTCTCTTAGAACTTGAAGAGATCTCTTCAGAACTGGGAAAACATCTCCTTTTGTTGACATCACATGAAGGCTGAAGTCTGCTGTCAGTACCATGTTTAAGGATCTCAATTGCCATGTGGATAAGGTACGTGTCAATGTTTTCAGGAACTAACATTCTGATTAGGTTAATTTTACTCATATCTGTAAAAGATAAAAAAAACTCCATTTCAAAATAAATTACAGAGAACATTTTAGAAAACGTATGAGCTAGAAATAGTGAAATATTCTGTAGAAAGGAAGGAGGAGGGTTGCCAAAGAAGTTTCCTCTTTCAAATGCCTATAGCCTTATGGAACGGAAATGGAGTAAAAACTCCACTCGGGTATCACTATCACCTGAAGCCCCTGCCTCCAAGGTCCAAAGTCAGGTCAGTACTATTGACACCGCATAAATCGTGTTTCAAACTGTCTTTTGTGGGCTGCCGTGAGAGTCAAAACAACCATTCATAGAATTGCTCTAAAGGAAATTGTGTTTCCAATTCCAAATATCAATTATAATTAGATTTTTCTTAAAATAATTTATTCTGATCACTTGCTGGCCTTTTGCCTAAGATCAAGTATAATAATGATTTATTCTTTAAGTAGAAGCTAATCGTACTTGTAAATAAGATTCTAATAAAAAGGATTCTTTCAATGGCTATTATTGCAATAACAAGAGACATAAATGATTTTAAATGCACATTAACTAGATGAGATTTCTGGGAACATATTTCTTATTTTCAGAATCAAGAAACTTTACATTTTTTTGCAACTCAACAGAACTAATTCAGACTGTGTCAATTTCTTGACACCTTCTAAAATTATGTAGCAGCCTCCTATAGGCAAGCCAATAATTATGTTTCAGCACTTCCTTCCAACATCACGTTTTTCTGCAATGCTCCAGAGTGCGGTAAACCCAAGCAGTTTAGAACCTACCCATTCACCTTCACCTAATTTACAAAACATATCCAACATTTGACACCCAACTCAAATCAGTGATCAGAAACCAAGTATTTTTCAAATGACAACCTGAAAAGACGTTCTTTAAATTATTACTTTTCAGGTTTATATTTTCCTTTCTTCTAAAGATTAGCTTGCTACTCCAAGACTCCTCAAAACACTGCAGTTTAAAAAGCAAAAAACAAAACAAAATAAAACAAAAAACAGGAAGAGAAAGTTATGCAGCTAATATAAACTAGGTCAGTGGGTTAACTAATTAAAGTTTCAAAATCTTAAAAAGGAAAAGATTACCTCTATACATAGTAAAATCAGCAACGTGACTATCTAATCTCTCAACCAAACTAAAATTGTATTTGTCCCTTGATCATTATATCATCCTAATAATGTCAAAATTCCCCCAATTTTACTATTTCATCATTTTTTAATGGCTGAGGAGTATTCTGTTGTATGTGTGTATCCAAATTTACTTTGAGTTCCCTTTTATTTGTCTTCAAATTTTAAAATACGTTTGGAACACCTTGGGCACATTAGTCCACTTTGTTCAACGGTAAATTTTACAAAAGCTAAACACAGATCAAGTATTTCCAGTTAAAATTTAGCATCAGAAGATATGTTGTATATATAAAGTACATACCTGATTACAAAGGCTTATTACAGAAAAAAGTACATAAAATATCTCATTAATAATTTTCAGATTGATTACATGTTGAAATGATAAAATTTTAAATATAGTAGACTAAATTATATTATCTAAATAAATTGCATCCATTTACTTTTTCAAATGTGGCTACTAGAAAATGTAAAATTGCATATGTAGCTCGCATTATATTTCTACTGATAGTGCTGTTTTAGAAAGATCATATAAATTTTCCCACACTCAAAACCAAGTAATATACCACTACATTGCATTAAATTCATTTTCTTCCATGGCTATCTAGAAATTAGATAAACAAACTATGGATGATTAATTTCTTCATACTATAAATGTGACATTTATAAACCAAGTTTTTAGGGAAAAATCACACAAGCTTGAGCTATTATCGTGTAATGGGCAAAACAAATTAATTTTAAAAGAAAAAATAAGATATTTCATTCACTTTTGAATCACTTTATTTCTAAAATTAGAATGTCTTTTGTTCATAAAATGATGATGCATAAACATCTGCTTATGGTGTTAAACCACTATTAATGATTTAAAGTTAAATGTATAAGGTTAATTTCTAGATATAATTTAAAAATTCATATATTTTTCTAATACATTTCTACAAAGTACCCTTTATAATTTCTATGGTAAATTCATCCTGCATTTTATACATATGCAAATAAGTGGCATTTAGCTTTACAGGTGCATCTCATTCTGCTCTAACTTCCCATGTAAATAAGTGCTGAAAATAGCTACCGCAGAATTCATGACAACACTGGCTACATGCCTTCAGTGTTTTCAAAGAGATCATATTACCCTTACTTTTGTAGTAGATCCCTTGGAAGCCACTCTTAATTTTCCAGTTACATGCACATTAAGAATGGGAGAATAAAATTAATCAAAATACTATCTAGGTACCTCATTCAATGCTTTAATTTATTATTAAGCATAGTTCAAATCCCAAATCCATAAACAGAGTTTAAAATTATATAAACAAGGACAAACGAAAAGAATACAAAGGTACAAAGCTCCTTTAAATATGAACAGTTTTCCAGACAAAACCTACTTAACAAATAAGAGTATGAAATTAATAGCTATGTTTTCTCAATGCATAATTACTCTATTTTCAGGTAAAGATTGTGTCATAATAAAATACAGAAACTTCTCAATTCAGGATTGTACAAAGTTTAGATTTAATCAAACTTGTTCTTTAAAACTCTAAATTATTGTGGCATGGCTACAGTTAAATAAAATAGGAAAATAGCATATCTGAATCGTTATTATAGTATGTATATCCTCATTCCTTGTTATCATTTATAATCCAACAATGTTTTCTCCAGTAAGAGAACAAAAGGTATTTTATAAAGAAAAAACAAGAATCCAAAAGCACAATCTCACATCCATAAATGATAGTTTAATGATTATGAGTGTACTATCAAAAGAAATAAAAGAGGGCTGGGCTCAGTGGCTCACACCTGTAATCCCAGCACTTAGGCAGGCTGAGGTGGGAGGATCGCTTGAGACTAAGGGGTTCAAGACTAGGCTGGGCAATGTAGTGAGACCCCATCTCTACAAAAAATATTTAAAAATTAGCCAGGTGTGGTCCCAGCTACTTGGAAGGCTGAAGTGGAAGGCTTGCTTGAGTCCAGGAGTTCAAGGGTGTAGTAAGCTATGATTGTGCCGCTGCACTCCAGCCTGGGCAACAGAGTGAGACCTTGTCTCAAAAAAAAAAAGAGCTCATGGTTATCACAACCTTCTTAACCTCCTCTATTCTAGATTTAAAAGTAGGCTACAGAAACGTACTTTTTCATATTATATGTGCAACCTACAGACAGTGTATTAACAGAACGATAAGTTTTTAGTAAGTATATCTTAAGAATTTTTCACTATTATATTCTGCTTGATTTTAATATTTCTTACTTTAAAAAGTTATCTAACATCAAAAATGGAAATTGCAAATCTTAGAATGTAGAGGGTACTAGATATGGTAAGGGGTAAAGACACTCAATAAATAAAGATATGAAACTGATTATAAATAAGTTAATTTGTTTCACTCATCGAGTTTATATACCCATATCCTATATCAGGATTAGAAATTGCATATTTGTTTCCTTTAAGTTAACTGGCAATACAACTTTAACATGAGTAAAAAGAGAAACTTGCTCAGTCATTAATCTTAGACATGGTATTAAAACAGTTTTATAACTCTCTAGGCCTCACATTCCTTATCTCCAAAACAGGGTGGGATAGGAAAGGGAAAGTGTAATGATTTCCAATTTCATTTCTAAATCTAAAGTTCCATAACTTTGTGCCTACATGATTTAGAAAGCAAATTAACAGTGCTTCAATTCTTTACCGTGGGCAAATAAAACAGATGTTGTCAATACGTGGCTGAATAATATAATATGAAATTTTCCTTTACCATTTCCCTCTGCCCATAATGAAGTGATGTTAGAATGTCCATTTAGGACATTCAGGAATATATGCCCAAGAATTCTTTAGTGCAAATGAGCACACATGCGTGCGTACACACACACACACACACACACACACACACACACACACCATTACAACCGGTTTGAGTTCTTAAATTGTATGTCTCTATAAAATACATATTGGGGAACATTCTTTCTTATATACTTATTAAGTTCATATATTCTTAAGTGCCTATTAAAAATGACAAACTATAAAAATAATCATATTTAAAGGGTATATTTAAGACACCATAAAACTTTACCATCTGTGTCTTCAGTCATCATCATCATCATCATATTCACCACCACCATTTGCTATTACCAGTGTGCCAAAGCTTTCTGAACAGTATCTAATTTACAGTCATACACCACATAATGATGTTTCAGTCAACCATGGGCAGCCAACAGGAACAAGTATCCATTAGATTATCACACAGCTGAAAAGTTCCTATCACCTAGTGACATCATAGCCATCATAACATCACAATGCAAAGCATCACCCATGTGTTTGTGGTGGTAATGGTGTAAACAAACTCACTTTGCTGCCCGCTGTGTAAAACTCTAGCATATACAGTACATAATACTTACAAATGATAACAAATGACTATGTTACTATGTTTATGTGTTTGCTATATTACACACTTTATAAATATTTTTTAGAAGTTCATCGTAAAACAAGTAGGCCCTTCTGGAGGTATCCAGAAGAAGGCATTGTTATCATAGGAGATGACAGCCCCATGCATGTGACTGCCCCTGAAGACCTTCTGGTGGGACAAGATGTGGAGGTGGAAGACAGTGAGACTGATGATCCTGAGCCCATGTAGGCCTAGTCTAATGTGTGGGTTTGTGTCTTGGTTTTTAACAAAAAAAAAAATGTAAAAAGTAAAAACGAATTTAACAAAATCAAAAACAGAAAAAAGCTTAGAGAAGAAGGATATAAAGAAAATATATTTGTACAGCTGTACAATATGTTTGTGTTTTAAGCTAAGTGTTATTACAAAAGAGTAAAAAGATTTTAATTCATAAAGAAAAATCATTACAGTAAGCTAAGGTTAATTTATTATTGGTAAAAGAAGCAAATTTTTTTAACTTTTATTTTAGTTTCAAGGGTACATATGCAGGTACATTATACAGATAGATTCGTATCACAGGGGTGAGTGTGGCCTAAGTGCACAGGGTTTATAAAGTCTACAGCAGTGCACAGTCCTAGGTCTTCACATTCACTCACCACTCACTCACTGACTCACACAGAGCAACTCCCAGGGTGTAAGCTCCATTCGCCGTAAGTGCCCTATACAGATGTACCCTTTTGTATCTTTTTTTTGAGACAGAGTCTCACTCTGTCTCCCAGTTTGGAGTGCAGTGGCACAATCTTGGCTCACTGCAACCTCCACCTCCTGGGTTCAAGCAATTCTCCTGCCTCAGCCTCCCAAGTAGCTGGGATTACAGGCACCTACCACCACGCCTGGCTAATTTTTGTGTTTTTAGTAGAGACGGGGTTTCACCATGTTGGCCAGGCTGGTCTTGAACTCCTGACCTCAGGTGATCCGCCCACCTCGGCCTCCCAAAGTACTGGGATTACAAGCGTGAGCCACCACGCCTGGCCTTTTTAAAAAAATCTGTTACACTGTATTTCTACTGGGCCTTTTCTATGTTTCACTATGTTTATATGCACAAATACCACTGTGTTATAATTGCCTACAGTATTCACTAAAGTCACATGCTGTACAGGTTTGAAGACAGGAGCTATACCATACAGCCTAGATGTGTAGTAGGCTACACCAATCTAAGATTAAGTCCACTCTGTGAGGTTCCCATAAGATGAAATCGCCTAACAACACATTTCTCAGAATTCATCCCCATCATCAAGCAACGCATGACTATACTTCTCACAATTCTGTAAGAGAGGCAATATTAATTCTCCCTGTCTTAGAGATGAGGAAATTGAGGATTAGGGAAATTGGATCACTTGATGGAGGTCACATAACAATGAAATGCTAGAGCCAAGGTCTAAATACAGATCTGTCTATTACCAAAGCCTTTGCTCTTACAGACTAGACCAACACCACCTGTAAGTTTCAGGATATAAAGAAGGCAGCTAAATAATAGCAGAAATGCCAATAGAAAAAAAAAAAAGGTTGGTGGAGGGAACTACACAAATTCTTTTCTTTTTTTGTTTTTTGAGACAGAGTCTCACCCTGTTGTCCAGACTGTAGTACAATGAGGCAATCTCGGCTCACTACAACCTCCTCCACCTCCCAGGGGGGTTCAAACGATTCTCCTGCCTCAGCCTCCCAAGTAGCTGGGATTACAGGTGTGTGCCACCAAGCCCAGCTAATTTTGGTATTTTTAGTAGAGACGGGGTTTCACCATGTTGGTCAGGCTCGTCTCTAACTCTTGACCTCAGTGACCTGCCTGTCTCGTCTTCCCAAAGTGCTGGGATTACAGGCGTAAGCCACCGTGCCCGGCCTGCACAAATTCTTTCAGAGAATACTCAACCTACGACTCAGCCTACTATCTCATCGAAAGATGCAAATTGCTTTAAGTCCTGAGGGACAGTACATTTCTAAAGGAAAAACAATTCCAGACTATAAGCATGAAGAAGACATTTGAGTCTGGCTTTCTCTAAAACGCTCTCATTCTGCACTGGAGAAACAGAGGTTTCGACAACCATAAATCTAATACTACAAAGTAGTTACTATTTTCCTCTCTCTGCCTTGATTTCTGAAGTTAGGAAGATCAGAAGGTGACCAGGAAAGTTGGCCAGCTTTCTCGTAAGATGCCTCTCTAACCTACCTTGGATGTTTTACAGCTTAGCTCAGGATTTGGCTAATTTAACCCTGAAATGCTAACTTATTAACTTACATGGTTAATTCATAAGTATCACATAGATAAATACTCAGATTAGCATGACTACATCCATTCCTTACATACACATCTGCATGGGAAGTTATCAGAAAACTAGGAAGTGATATATAAGCAGAATTCGTTGTTAAGAGTATTCCTCAAATATAAATTTTTCCCAATTTTTAATGTCTTTCATTTCTTCTTGTTGTTGTTCAGATGACATTAGGTAATTTTTCTCCTTTTACCCTTATTGTGGTAACATTTAAAGATTTTTCCAATCTTGAGTCATTCTAGCATTCCTGCACAAACTAGAACTTGTCAGGGTGCAAGATCTTTTTTTTTTTTTTGAAAGAGTCTCACTCTGTCACTCAGGCTGAAGTGCAGTGGCACGATCTTGGCTCACTGCAACCTCCGCCTCCCTGGTTCAAGCGATTCTCCTGCCTCAGTCTCCTGAGTAGCTGGGATTACAGGCACGTGCCAACACTGCTGGCTAATTTTTGTATTTTTAGTAGAGACAGGGTTTCACCATGTTGGCCAGGCTGGTCTTGAACTCCTGACCTCAAGTCATCTGCCCGTCTCAGCCTCCCAAAGTGCTGGGATTACAGGTGTGAACCACCACGCCTGGCGCAATATCTTTTTTATATATATAATTTTTGGGGGGAAGGGATTTATTGTGCTTATGGGTGGCTTTGGTCTTTTAATTTTCCATCTCAGACCTTTATTTTCTGATTTTATCATAATTTTTTAAAATTATAACTTTTACTTTAGATTCAGGTAGTACATGGGCAGGTTTGTTACATTCGTATATTGCAGGATGCTGAGGTTTGAGGTACAATTGATCCCATCACCCAGATAGTGAGCATAGTTCCCAACATGCAGTTTTTCAACCACTGTCCCTTCCCACCTTTTCAACCATTGTTCCTTCCCTCCCCTCAGTAGTCCCCAGTGTCTACTGTTACTTTTTTTTTTTTTTTTTTTTTTTGAGACAGGTTCTCACTCTGTCACTCACGCTGGAGCGCAGTGGCATGATCACAGCTCATTGTAACCTCAAACTCCTGAGCTCAAGCACTCCTCCTGCCTCAGTCTCCCGAGTAGCTGGGACTATAGGTATACGCCACCACGTCTGGCTAATTTTCTTATTTTTTGTAGAGATGGGGGTCACACTATCTTGCTCAGGCTGGTCTTGAACTCCTGAGCTCAAGGAATCCTTCCATCTAGGTCTCCTGAAGTGCTGGGATTATGACACAAGCCACCACACCCAGCCTGTTCTCATTTTTATATCCATATGCACCAACTTTAGCTCCTGCTTATAAGTAAGAACATGCAGTATTTGGTTTTCTATTTCAAACATGACATTGACATAACTTATAAACAGGTTATTTATGTACTATACTTGAAGTCCCCTGGCCACTCCCCCGCATCCCTGGAACTTAGATGAGCACTACTCCAACTTGCCTCCGTGTCTCTCCTTTCCCTGTGCATCCACCGTGATCAATGGAAGTGAAGGAGGTGTTCGTTCTTTAGACCTTCAGTCAAGTCATGCTCAAGCCTAGAAATAATCCTGTCTTCTAAGTGACTTATTTTCGCTCAGATCTATTTAAGCACAGTATTGACTGTGCTTTCAGAGAGTGATTTTCCAATTCTCAGGGGGAATTATTCACAAGTTGTTCACAAGTGGGAAAAACTTCAAGGTAGTAAAAAGTATCTGCACTGCAGCTTTGGAGATGAGGCTTTTGGGATGGCCACTGCTCTATCCTAACAGTCTAAAGAAATTTATCAGATTTATTGAGTTATAAGACCCCAAGGTTTGTATTTACACATCTAGGAGAGAAAATCCTCTAATGTATCTCCTATTTATTTCTGTTACCAAAAAAAAAAAAAAAAAAAAGATAATAATTTAAAATATTTCTACGAGGCAAGCAAAGGGGCTTGCTCTCCGCAGCACAGCTGAGGTTCTGCAGCAAAGTGACAGGAAATCCTTCTACACAGCGGCCCACAGAACTTGGTTTGTCCCTTCCATGTCACAGTAACTGACACCAATGACTGTGTTGATTAGAAAGGCTACTCAAGTGAAACCAATGACAAGGACTCAGAAAGGTTTAGGGAAGAACTAGGAGTCAGGAAGCTACTGGGAATGAATGTGGAGAAAAATATGGTTTTTGCAAGTGATGAGGTAGAAATTAGAAAAAATGAAAGCACTGTTTTGGATGGCGGGGAAGGTGTAACCTTAAGCTGAAAAGGAAAATAAAAATTTCTCAGTGTATTGGCCAGGTGCCATGGCTCACACCTGTAATACCAGCACTTTGGGAGGCTGAGGTGGGCGGATCATCTGAGGTCAGGAGTTCGAGATCTGCCTGGCCAACATGGAAAATCCTGACTCTATCAAAAGATACAAAAATAGCTAGGCATGGTGGCACGCGCCTGTAGTCCCAGCTACTCAGGAGGCTGAGGCAAGAGAATCGCTTGAACCCAGGAGGTGGAGGTTGCAGTGAGCCAAGATCACGCCACTGCACTCCAGCCTAGGCAACAGAGCAAGACTCTGTCTCAAAAAAACAAACAAAACAAAAGAATTTCTCAGTATATTTTCCTCTGAGTGATAATGGGAAGAAAGACTGTTTTCCTAAAACAAGAAAAAGAATCACAAAAGGTTTTCATAATAGCATAAAGGATTAGTGCTGTTAAAAGTGAAAAATATTAGTAGATTGCTTGTTTACTCCGTCAAGTCATTAAGGGTGCAGAGGCAGGCCATGCTTCTCACCTGAGTTGACGGGAGGGTTTCGGATAACATCAGCAATAATCTTCTGAACCTCTGGAGTAAGACCTGCTCGCTCCAAATCAAGGGGGCAGCCAGCTTTCACCGCTTGGGATAAGTGCATGCCAATCGTCATGAGAGGCAGAATCCTGCTCTCAGCTATGCTCTTCTAGAGAAAGAACAGCAAAAGAACCCAGTGAATTTTAGAAGTGTCCACTCTACTCATGGAAAGAAAATGTCCAAAACATTCAGGTAGTAAATGCTCAGTGTGAAATAAACAATGAACTAAACCTTTACTTAAACTTTTCATTTTCAGAATTTCTTTAAAACTACCCCCATTATAGCTCTCCATAGGTTCTACTTTTTATACTTATTAAACTGTATTGAATAAAACAAAATCATCCAGCTTTAGCGAAGAATTCAATCCTCGCCCCTCTCTATTCACTTTAGAAAACCATTAGTGGCAGAGAAGTCATTCTCTGTAAGTCTAACAGTTGTTACGACCTTCTGAAAACACAGTAAACTGTAACCCAATACTCTATACACTTGAAATAACATGTGATGGTTTGGTTACACGAATTTCCAAGAAGACAAATCCTAAAATGCTTAGCGATAACATAAGGCTCCAGATGCATTCTATAAAAGGTTCCTGAGAAGACTCTAATAGGTGTTTGAAATTGGCTCTATTCATAAAATAATAATAACCACAGTTCCACAAGGGGTGTCAGCATTTTCCTACCATTGAACTTCACATGAACAGTGCTACATATTTATATGGTTCTTTAAACAAATGTGGCTGCAAATACATTTCAGATACTTATTAGGTAAAACATTCTTTTAAACACCCAGAAAGCTTAGTCACTCAGCTCTAACTTATTTCATGATCCTCTCTTTCAATACATTTTCAAAGTCTGAATTTAGACTGTATTTGCATGAATGTTGACACTTTCACAGAATAGAGCATTTAAGGCAAAGTTTTTCATCCTTCAAAGGGAGGTTTTAAATTACTTTCATTAAATGTCTACTAGAAAAGTGTGCACCATGTGTGCATAATATCAGGGTTATTTGATAGCAGGTTTCAAATTACCTCCAACTAATTGTAGTATTGCTCCTGATTAATTAGTCCTAAGCATGTTTAATTCTGCGGTTAACTGGCAAGACTCTCTCAGACTCCTGGGAGGTAAGAATAATTATACCACCATATCACACAATAAAACACAACCAAATAATACCAAAAGCCACAAATGAAGATATAACAGTCTTCACATTTTTAACCATGAATACACAAACTAACACATGAAACCCTGTATTACAACTGAGCATTAGAATACACTTTTTTTGGAAAATTTGGAGCCAATACCAAGTTTTCTTAGTAACTGTTTTCATTTCTACTATACATACATGGTCAAACTAGGTATATACAGGCATTTTTAACATGTACATAGAAGTTATTATTTACATAAGAAATTGAACTTAAAATTCCCATTCTGTGTTCTATTTCAAAAATAGTATAATGGAATTATTTGGTTTCTTGGGCAATGGTTTTTGTAAGGAACTTTAAGAAACATGACTGTCAAATTAAAACATTTATTCAGTAAGTAAGATAAGTTATGGACTGTTTATTCTTATTTATTTTAAATGATAAAACCTGAACAAAAGGTGTGTGATACAGGCACTAGTGGATGGAACCAGAGACAATAGAAAAGCAGGCATTGGACCATATCTGTTGTTACAAATCAACTAAATGTCAAGAGGATGAGAATTCAAATTAAACTTACCTGTAAGTCTCATTTTGTCACATTCCATTAAAAACTTACTCTCCATTTTGTATACAAAAAACCTCAACAGCCTTAAAGATTTATCTTAGATCAATGAAGAAACATTACATATGGTCTTTTTGTTTTGTTTTGTTTTGTTTTGGGGACCAAGGCTTGTTTGGTCGCCCAGGATGGAATGCAGTGGCGCAATCTCAGCTCACTGCAACCTTGCAACCTTTGTTTTGTTTTGTTTTGGGGACCAAGGCTTGTTTGGTCGCCCAGGATGGAATGCAGTGGCGCAATCTCAGCTCACTGCAACCTTGCAACCTCTGCCTCCTGGATTCATGCAATTCCCGTGTCTCAGCCTCCTAAGTATCTGGGATTACAGGCACGTGTCACTACGCCTGGCTAATTTTTGTATTTTTAGTAGAGACAGGGTCTCCCTATGTTGTCCAGCTGGTCTCAATTCCCTGACCTCAAACGATCTGCTTGCCTCAGCCTCCCAAAGTGCTGGGATTACAGGCATGAGCCACCACACCCGGCCTACATATGGTCATTTGTTACAGCAATTAGATTGTTTTCAAAGAGCATCAAAACAGTACTAGAAGAGATAGAATGAAAAGCAAGTTTTTAAAAACATATTTCCAGTTGTTTGGCTATGCTTCCAGAGATCCAGTATGTATTTTTTGTACACATACAAGAATATGTGACTATATAAGCATGCATATGCACACACATACATTTACGTTTGTTTTTCTCACTGTTTTGCACCTTCCTTTTTCTTAATGCATCTTGAGGTTGTTTCTTAACACTGTGAATATTTATAGTTTTTAAACTATTAGTCCCATTTTAAAATATGGCTGAGGCAGTATCCCTGAGCTATAAATGTGTTTATCAGTACCCCGATACAACCTCTAGAAGATATTCATGGCCAAACTAAACTTGCTGCTATTACTTAACAGGGAGGCTTAACAGAAAAAGAAAACGTTCTCTTTTAAAATTAAACTGAGATTTATTGTAGAGTTGGAGGAAATTATCCCAAGTCAGAGCTTTAATACTAAACAGCTGATAAAACACAAGTTTAAATAAACTAAAAAAATTCCCTGTAACTTGAAAGTCACACTTACCAAAGGCATCTTCTTTTCTTGGAATAAAGAGTATGTGATGGCCATAGACTGTGAAAGTGTGCATATTTTATTTTTTGCTACCAGACTCGTCTTCTGTTCTTCTTGAGGTTCTGTACTTGAAAAGAGGTCTGTCTACAGAATTTTAAATGTAGCACAAATGATCAATAATATCAATAATATCAATATAACAATAGAATATAAATATGATCATTAGCCATTAAGAAAAAAATAAACACAAGTTAAACCTATAAGCAACAAATAATTCCCTTTTTATAGGGAGCTCAAAAAGAAGTTGGATTTTTAACGTATTGATTTAAAAAAGTAAAACAATGCTAGAGCACACAAATTTAATTTTTAACAAAATATTTGTAATAACAAACATTTCCTAGTCTTCTCTGTAGCCAATAAGCAGGACTAAAAAAAGGAAGTATAATGGGAACCACTCTGTCTTTAAGTAAGTCCCCAATCCCTGGAAGTGAATATTGAATGAATGAATGAATGAATGAACGAACGAACAAACGAACAGAATCACTATTCAATTTTAGGTACTATAACCACTAATACATCATAAGGAAATACAACACTCTCTCTGCATATCTAATTCTAAATGATACACCCCAACTAGAAATCTAAGTATTCTATAAAATCTTAAATATGGTTCCTTAAGAAATGTTTAAAAGAAAAAATGGGGAACGACTGAAAAACAAGATTAATGAAAAAATAATGGAATCTTTTTAAAGGCTGAAATAAAGGTAAAGAGATAGACAACTTTTTTTTTTTTAACTACACATAAAAGGTAGATTAAAACAACATACTATAGCCATAATAAAACCTGTAACAAACTAAATTAATAATTTAAAGAAGTGCCTCGTCTCTTGATGAATGCTATTGGTATCATTTTTATAAGGTTATTTATCATGTGGTCTACTATATTATGTATACATATATGAGGAAACGTATCTATGAACTTTTCTTTTGGAAAGAAGTTCATTTTTTGTTTCCATACTCTGTTATTAGGGAGTTTAAGAAATTTATTAGTTGAGTATTAATTTACTGCTTGGTGAGAAACATAAATGTTTCTGTTTTACTTTTTACATGCTATATAGATGATGTCTAATGTTAGAATTTGAATTATCTGACCCAAGGCAATAAAACGTGCTTGCCAAACCTTTTGGGGGATTACATTTTACATGGGGAAGAATCTCAGAGCTAAACTCTCACATCAACACAAAAGACAGTTTCAATCAAATAACCCTAGCAGCAGAGATTTCATGTTCTGAGCATATGGTGGGTCTAATAAAACACTCCCAGGTGTTACATGCTTCTGTTTCTCTTTTACAGTTTCAGAATAGCTGCATTTTGCAATCTGTAGAAATCCTATCAAGACAAAATATGTATTTACTGAGGAAGCATTGTTGGCTCTTCAGACTGGTCACCCCACTATGGCAACGCCATGGTCTAGGCCAGCATTTCAGTCCTCATCCATGTAATCTCAAAAGTCTAATGTGTCTTATTACAGGGTAGTTGGGTTTTGGGGAGTAGAGTTGCACTACCCATCTGTTGAACTTGGTTTTATGCGTATGTGTGTATAAATATCAGTGTATACACTAGAAAACAAATTCATTAACTTATGAGGCATACAACTGGACAGTTTCACTTGCCCCAACCAGTATGTTCTGTCCTATAGAAGAGTTATATAGGAAGCCAGCTCACCTGAAAGTTTGAGAATATAACAAAGACACTTTTTTTTTTTTTCCCTATCACTCAAGTTGGAGTATTGTGGCACAATGATGGCTCACTGCAGCCTCAAATCCCCGGGCTCAAGCAATCCTCCTGCCTAAGCATCCTAAGTAGCTGGGATTACAGGATAACACCACCATGCCTGGCTAATTTTAAAAAATTGTTTTTGTAGAGGTGGGGTCTCGCCATGTTGCCCAGGTTGTTTTCTAACTCCTGGCCTCAGGCAGCCTGCCTGCCTTGGCCTGCCAAAGTGCTGGAATTACAGGCACAAGGGATTGCACCTCGCCATAAGGGAACTTCTGATAGTGCCTTAAGTAGTCTCTTAACAAAGATTAAGTTGAGGCATTCTCCTTGCCAATTAAACTATAATATTCAAATCTAGTTAGCGAAAATGTCTTTTTATCTAAAGAGTGCTTAGGTAAGCTTTGCCAACTTTTGTCCTTATTGTCTTTTCTATTTATATCTTCCTATAATTGACCACTCATCTTTTTTTTCTAAGGTTTATTGTGGGATATATCAAACATATAACACAAGTCGAGAGAATAAGATGGGCATCACCCAGTTTCAGCAACTGTCATTCATAACCAATCTTATTTCATGAACACCCTCCGGTATTTTCTAACTACTCTGCCCTTACCCCTGGATTTTTTTAAAATAAATAACATTTGTACATATTTATGCCATATATGTTCATACAGTCTTTTTTATTTTTTTTGACACAGAATCTCACTCTGTCACCCAGGCTGGAGTGCAGTGGCGCAATCTCGGCTCACTGTAATCTCCGCCTCCCGGCTTCATGCCATTCTCCTGCTTCACCTTCCCGAGTAGCTGGGACTAGAGTATGATTTGATTAGATTTTTGTTTACTAGAATCACATTGTAGCCCTTCCTTCCTAAGAGTATTATTTCAGATTACTTTGCCAAGTATTTAGGATATCCCTAAACCCTTTAATTGTACATTTGTGGATTGTATCATTACTTTGTTCCATAAATTCTCAAAATTCTCAAAAAAATGTATTTATATAAAAATATTTTAGCATATTTTTCCTAAATGGACATCTTAATGCGCTTAATATATGTGTCATATTTGTAATTGTTAATGTGTATTGTGACAGCAAGAAATTTTACTTCAAAATTTAAAAAATATATTAAAGGCTAATGAAACTCATGAATAACAAAACTTGCTTAATAAACATTAAAATTGATATTTTAAAAAATAAATGATTTCAATTTGCAGAAAAACCCAAGTATAATTTCTAATCACAGAAATTAGCAGTCATCTTCTCTATCCAGAAGGTTCATAAAGGTTTTATACCCATCCCTTGAGGAATTTACCTTTTCCCCTACTTCAGTTTCCTCTCCTGAAGGGGAGTTAGAAGAAATCATTCATTCATTATTCAATAATATCACTAATCATGAAAGAAGATAATACTGTCAAGTGTCCAAAGAGAGGGAACTTACTCAATCACCACTGGTAGGTATGATATTCTTCCCAAACCATTAAGACATTATCATTTTATTTCCAAAAACTCAGTAAGAAATAAGAATTTTCACATGATGTCTTATATAACAGTATGAAAAAGAAAATTTAAAGTTGCCAAAGATATTCTATATCAAAAGAGGGAAATGCTACACTCAAAAAGCAGAAGGGTTTTCTACTTATAGTTAGAGAAAGATTTTTCTAAAGTAGGATCCAACTGTGCCTGCCCAAAGCTTCCAGGAGCTTCTTGGAAGTAAAAAATAATCCCTTAATATTGTCTTGAATGTATTTAACTCTTTCAATGTTTTATACTTATCCCATGTCTTCTATTTTTCTATGTCATCTGTTGTTTCCCGGATGTGGGGGAGGAAGTGTCATTTCCATTGTGTAGCTGAGGAAATGGAGACCCAAGGAAATCAAAGGACATGTTCAGGTTCACCAGGTGAACAACTGTAAGGAAGAATTAAAGTCCTGATTCTGAGACTCCAAGTCCAGTAGTCTGCCCTCTATTCCCCACTGCCTCACCTTCTGCAGAGTACACACCATAGAGTCTGCTACGTGGAGTTTAGAGAAAATCCCAAATGATCTTTCTGGAAATGGTCACTTATGGCAGAACAGGCAATAATAAAAGGATATGAAGGAAACACTATTAAAACTGAAGAGAATAATATGAAATCCATGTACTATCAAAAGACAGCATTACTGGAAGGGGAGGGAGATTAGAGAATATGCTAAACCAAAAGCAAGTGGCTGAGCTCCTGACCAACTCATAGCAAGGATAACTTTCCAGCTTTAATTTCCAACTACCATATTTGAATGTAAAATTATAATTTATCAACCTAAAATAATGTTTCCAATTTAAAAACAAAACCTCCCAATGAAATAGAAAGACATCAGCAGCCTGGACAACTACTTTTTAGTATCATCTTTAAAAGTAGATAACTGACATGTTTTTACGACAGATTGACTGTAAAAACAATCTAAATTCATTTTCTAAGTGTCCAGTATGGAAATGCAAAGAAAGTGAGAAAATGTTGCTTCTGAAGGGTACTTTTGAAATGGTTACAAAAAATGCTTATTCTCTAAGAGCTCCTGCAAACCACAGTATTTTACCTGAACACTATTTGTTTGGCAGAAATGTTTGATGACTTCCAACAGAGGGGCCAACATGGCAGCTTTGCCTTCAGAAACACCATCAATCCTTTTTATGTTTTCAACCGTAGTTGGTCTGTGTTTAACAACAACAAAAAGGTCAAGAAACCACTGAAACAGTATCACTCCAGCAATATAGCTGATGTTCAGCTTCATAATGATTCTCTAAATGTATAGTTTTTCCAACAACCAAAACAATGTATAATACAACTAATCATGTTTTATAATTTCTTTCTTTGCTTACCATCATTTAAAGACTTGTGCTTTTACCAACTTATGAATAAAAACACTATTGTCCCCATCACCACAAAAACACACTGTTAACTGGTAAACAGGACATTATCATAAAGGAACAGGTTAACATATCAAATATTCATTTTATTACTGATTTTATTATTATCTTTATAGTCATGAAAAGGAAAAGTATGAGGCTCTAACTGGGAACAACTAAGAGGCTAAGAAAATCTCAAAAGAAAGTCTCATTCATTATTTTCTTCTACAAAGTGTTTACCAGTAACAGTGTATCTGCCAATTCCTTCAGACTTTTAACTCAATATTTCTTATTGTGTCCAATATCCAAGAACACATTCGATGCCCTCCTTCCTTCTAAAAATCTGCCGATCTAATGATTACTCCTTTTCATTAAATATCTCCTCTGGGCCAGGTGCGATGGCTCATGCCTGTAATCCCAACACTTTGGGAGGCCGGGACAGGTGGATTGCCTGAGCTCAGGAGTTCAAGACCAGCCTAGACAACACAGTGAAACCTCATCTCTACTAAGATACAAAAAATTAGCCGGGGGTGGCGGTGCACGCCTGTGGTCCCAGCTATTCTGGAGGCTGAGGCAGAATTGCTTGAACCCAGGAGGCAGAGGTTGCAGTGAGCCGAGATTGTGCCACTGCACTCCAGCCTAGGTGATAGAGTAAGACTCAGTCCCAAATATATATATATATATATATCCTGAATAGTAAAGTATGGTCTTAGAATACTTATTAACAACAGAATTAGTGTCAGATATAGCACTGTGTAATGTCATTAGAAAATTTTGCACTCAAGTAATATCTATTGGACGCAATTTAGTGACAGAAACAATTTTTTTTTAAATTATACTTTAAGTTCTAGGGTACACATGCACAATGTGCAGGTTTGTTACATATGCATACATGACACAAACAATTTTTTAAAAGGAAGCAAAAGACGAATACAATTACCAAGTAAATATTCTTGGGAAATAACTTCTTCTAAATGTTTAATGATCACCTCGTGTTTACGAGGCATTGTGCTAGGTGCTATGGGAGACACACAAAAAGATGAGGAGCTAATACCTTTATTCGGAGTTTAAAATCTAGAAGATACAATAATACACGTTTACCACTAATTACAAAAAACTAAAATATAGCATTGTGTGGTAAGTGCCAGAGAAGCATCTTTAGAATTCATCTGAAAGTCCTCTATGAATTCAAGAGAGAGGAATTACTTCGCCAATAAGATCATGAAATACCTTCTCATAGTCTTTATAGTAATAAAACAAGATCTTAAAGAATTTCTTAAAAGGAGTTTTGAGGAATCAAGCAAACTACAAGGAGAAGCAACACTGAAAATAAATATATGGAAGTTGAAAACGGGTCTTCAACGAGTGGTCAACAACCCAGGTAAGATTGTTTCAAATTCTGTAACTTAGATGGAAAAGCAAGTTCATAAATGGAGGGCCTTGAATTCCAAGCTAGAAAGAAACCATTTAAGCATAAGTAACACATAATAAAGGAAGATTTAGTTTGGTACTCATATACTGGATGAAACAGAGAGAGAGAATGAAGGGTTAATAGTTAAGAGGCTTCTGCAACATGCCAAGGGAAAACAGTCAGAACTAATGAGGTGTCATTAAGGAGGAGGAGGAAGGCATAGACAGGCAACAAGGAACCCATTTTACAAAAGGTATGAAAAGTATTTAAATAAGAAAAAGAGGTCAGGCACAGTGGCTTACACCTGTAGTGCCAGCACTTTGGAGACTGAGGCAAGAAGACCGCCTGAGCTTAGGAGTTGGAGACCAGCCTGGGCAATATGACAAAACCCTGTCTGTACAAAATATACAAATATTAGCTGAGAGAGAGAGGAAAAGGTTTTATTGTTGGAGGAGAGAATCAGAATCAGAGGTTTTAAGGGGGCATTAGGAACCCTGACCTAGGATAGTGGATGG